TGCTCTTTTTTTTTTTTTTGGGGGGGGGGGGGGGGGGGGGGGGGCGCCGCAGAATATTTTCGGTTGTAACCTTTCGCGATTGTCAGAGGGGAGCAAAATCAAGATCGCCCAAAATACTGCTGAGGGACAGGGAATCACAAGGGGGAAACAAAAAAAAATCAGCAGAAATAAAGCAAGCAAGCAAGTCCGCACCTGCATGGAAACGTAGGCCTGAGCAAGGATGGCGAGGACCATCAAGACGTGCACGGCGATCAGAAGGAGGCCGTAGGCCTCTTGGCTCTGAGCCTCTTCGTCCGAGACGTCGGCCTTGGCCATCAGCCCCAGGAAGTTGGAGAAAAAAATCGTGATGCAGCCCTGACAAAAATCAAGACATATAGGTAAGAAATCAGGCACTTCAAACAAAGGGCGAGCACTCGATCGACCGACCACAGCGCAGTGCGAAAAGAGGCAATCAAACAATCAACATGCCAGGGGCACGCCAGATGGGAGAAGGGGCACGAACGATGTGCGCGCTACTTGGCAATGTGGTACTACAATACACACGTCGTCGAAAACCGTCTACAACGGCGACAGACGCCTGGGCATCGTGTCACCCCATTCAGCTATGAACTGCGAACGTACGCGTGGTCGGGAGAACGACGTTTTCATGTGCTCCCAGTTTTCTGATTGGCCAACACTGGCGCCCACTAGTTTCTAGTTGGCTGATCTGTGGTTGGCTGACAGTCCTTCGGCGGTGAGCGCCGTCAGCCAAAGGCCGAGACGCTTCATTTTTGGTCGAGACGCATCGGCGCTATTCTATCTTGTCAAAAAAAATTCCGAGGTGCCGCCAGACGGCATCACCACACTGCCGTTTGCCGTGTAGCACCGGTGTTCTCGGCGGGCGCATATTGACCTACCAAGCCATTCTGTACTGCTGTGAATGGTGCCGGTGTCCGGCATTATAGTGCCGGTCAAGGCAAATACCGCCACTAAACAGGGACCTCCACTATACTGCTGTGTGCAAGGAGATAACGATTGCTGGTAGGCCGAAATCAATCGCGTGTGTGTGCAAGAGTATAGACCTACAGACGGATTTCCTGCGGCTGAGGGCTCACGAGATTGCAGGGAATGCAGTCCTGATGCTCTCGTGAGCCTAGAGCCCTTTTTTCGCGGTTTCTCCGCCCGTAGACCTCGCCTCGAAGCCAGATTTGCACCAACCGATAGCCCTGTGTTCACATACCTACAATCATGTGCTCTCGCCCGACATTACGATTAGTTGCGGGGTTTGTTTCAGGCATTTATTTCAATCAACAGCTTTGGGGGACGCAATATATATACAAGGAGAAAAGGCTCTACTTACGATGCGGTACATCCAAGCATCGGTGTGAGAGAGGTGCGGGCGGAGGAGCTCGAAGCCAAGAAGACCGACGAACGCGAAGACGCTCGCTCCGGCAGCCTGGCCAGCCGTATTCGGCAGCACGAACACTTTTTGTGGGTCGCATATATATCGACGTTGTGGTGTAGCGCACGGCAGGCAACGAAAGAAAGAAGGGAAAAGGGGGGAAAAAGGGGGGGAGGGGTTGTAAAACTGTATGAAAATAAATGTAGGTGTGCAGATACTACATCACAAATTTTTCAAGGGAAAAAGGGAAAACAGTAGTGAAACAGGTAAGCGTCGGTGATGTGGTGTAAGGTCGGCGGTTGTACCAACCATCGTTCTTTTTATCCAACGGAATGTTAGAAATGTTAATGTTAATGTTTACTCCGTGTGCCGAAAAAACGCCTGCGGTAAGACCCGTTCTGAACCCCGCTTTTTTCGCCGAAAAATTTTAAACGAAACACACGTTTTATCCCCCTCCACCCCGGCATTGTTGAGATGCGATGTCTATGGTCTACCGACTACATCATGCAATTACATGAGTACATCCCCAGCCCCCTCGCAGCACTCAACAAAAGAGGTTGCAGGATAAGTGGGCGGGGCGGCCTCTTGCTCTCTCTCGGACCGCCTTCGCGAGAGGCCTACAAGTTGATGAGTAAAAATAACAGGGAGGGGGTACGCAGACCCAATTTCCTAGCCCTAACCCTAGCCCAACTTCCCCGATTGCATGCTTCATCCAACACGCCTACTTAAAACGAAAACCCCTACGAAGGCAACTGCTGCTGTCTCTCTCTCTCTCACCAAGCGCCCCAGTGAGAAGGCATCGCCGTCCGCATTCCACGGTCTCGTAGTAGTAATTGTCCGGCTCTGACCAAAGGCGAGAGTACAAACAGTAGCAGCGAGCTTGAGTGAGAGAGTGCGGGGAAAGGCACACATATGTAAGTAGCAGCAGCAGCAGCAGCAGCAGATTTCGATCGGTCGACGACGAACACAAGACAAGAAACAAAGAAGCCAGGAAAGTTGGCGTGATGGCCACGCAGCGAGTACGTAGCGAATAGCGTTTTGCCGAGATGATAACAAAAAGAGATTCGGATGAAAACCGGTTATGATCCGTTAAACTGGTTATATAATATAACCGTTACCGTGGGCAACACGGCGCGCGTCGCGGGCACTCCCGCCGTCCCCCCAAAAACGCTCGTGAAAGCACATGGAACGCGGAACAAGTGCATGGATGATATTCATAACACGATCTGGGAAACAACCAGCGGAAAGCGGCGGAGAATTACAAACAATACTTCAAGGCTACGGGCAACAAAGACACAACAACAACAACAACAACAACAACAACAACAACAACAACAACAACAGAAAGAGCGTCCTGCCCACAACGCAAACGAGAAAGGCCGGCAGAAAAAAACACAAAAAACGGCAGCGAGCGCGCACCGTAGGGCTCCCAGAGGAACCTTGTCGACTGAAGATCCGGGTCTTGGGCTCGATTCTCCAGCACCTGACGCCGCCGCCAACAACAGCAGCAACAACAAGAGCGGTTTCGCATTACAGGAGCCATGTGACCATGGAAGGAGTCCGGGTCAGGTGGACCAGTAGAGATACTAAAGGCTACGGGGCGGAGACCGGAACGGGTTTATCACGTCTAGACAACAACAACACCAACCAACAACACCACCACCAACAACAACAACAACAAGAGCGGTTTCGCATCGCATATTTCGAAGTCAGTGAGGGGTTTCCAAAGTACTCCGAGGCAGTGGATCCCGTCCGGGGTTCGGGGAATACACAGCAGGAATCAAGGAGGCACAGACAGCAAGCCAACCGTAGAAATAGCCGTAGCTCTCCCCCCCCTCTTCTCTGTCAGTGATACGAGGACGCACAGCACGTATGGTATACCAAAACATTTTCATAGTCAAACGCCTTCTTTTCTCCCTAACTTCCTCTGTCCAGTGACACAAGGCGCACACCAAACCGTTTTCAATTATAGTCAAAGAGTCTTCTCTCCTCCCCTGCCCATTGATAACGAGAGGAGGCACAGCAAAGCACACCAAAACTCTTTCAATACAGACCGCTGGACCAAAAATGTTCACTTACAGTCAACGGTCTTCTCTGCCACCTCTTCGCTGTCCAAAACTCTTCAACTTTAGTCAAGAGTATTCCCTCGCCCCCCCCCCCCCTCTGCAGTGACAAGCAGTGACAAGAGGAGGCACAGCAAAGCACACCAAAACGTTCCAATACGGCAGACCATGATCTTCATCTCTCCCACCTCTTCTCTGTCCTGAACCAAGCCGCCGCCATCTGCGGCCGCCGGGACGACAACGGACAAGCGCCGGGCATTCCCACCACCTCGGGCACCGCCGCTGCTGCCGTTGCTCAAGGGCCTCCTCTCCCCCTCCCCGCTACACCTGCGGTGGTACTGGCTGTCCCCTTCCGACGCGACGCTAACAGCGCTGCCTCTCCTAGCCCCCCGAGAGGTGTCCTTCATGCCGGCGAGCTCAATGTCCCCGCTATCGCGCCCTCTCGCCGTGGGAGTCGCGCGAGGGGTGGCCGCAGCGGCACCGGGGTGTCCGCTGCCCTCGTTTTCCATCCTCGCCGTGTCCGAAGATACTCTCTCCATGAGGACAGGGCCCGTTGCCGCGGCAAGGTCGAGAGTCTGGGTCGGAGGGTTGATCTTCTCCCTCCGCTTGAGCAACAGCACCGCGAAGAGCATGGGTACCCCGATGGGGTACAGGAGGATCATCAACGCCGCGTAAGCCTGGGGGGGGACGGGGGCGTACGCACATAGTGATGGAAGTGTCGCGAGAGTTTTCTGCCAGTTATTTTTTCGCAACCTCTCTGTCGTTATGCCGAAACAAAACACCAATCGCTGCAGCGATGCCTTGTGTGCCCAAGTCGCACGTAAAACTAGCGGCGGAAAGTCCGCAATGAGCTTCAAACATCAATACGACATGTATGTACTGGTGCGTCAACAGCCTCCTCTCCTCGGTTCCCGCAGGAGACCAACAAAAAAAAGGGCCAACAGCCTGCTGCCCGTTGTCATGTTGTCCGATTGATCCTATACTACAAGGCCGTCAAACACCAACGAATGATGAACAACGACCAGGGAAATGTGGTTGAGGTTTGCCGGAGAAGCAACACCCCTTACTGCCAACACTGTCGTTTCTGTGTTTCTGTGTTTCACACTCCCAACCGAAGGGATGAAGTTGCGAAATAGCAACTGAACCGCGTCCGACGATTTTTTACCGTGGGTATTCCAACGAAAGAGGAAGGGTGCCAAAGCAGAAGAGGTTTTCTTTCTTTTTGTTCCTACGGTACCTCGTAGAACGTGTGGTCCGGGTGGTCGCACGAGATGCTGTAGTCCGCGCGAAGCAGCGACACCCCTAGGTCTTCCAGGTAGTCGCAAGAGTACGTAGAAAACACCGCCGTGCTCACGGAGCTGAACACCTGAAGCACGACGCGTTTCCAATCAAAACAACAACAGACAATCGAGTGGGAAAGGAGTTCGAGATCCAGCCGGCGTTTTCGAACTAGACAATTTCGAATGCGGCTCTGAACAGCATATGGTTGACGAACTACATATTTCTTCATAATGGAGTTATGTATTGGAAGGAAACAGTCACGAAGCAGCGCTTGCACAACAACAACAAACCGAATTTATTTCGCTTTTTCGCACAATGATGCCAGAACGACAACCAAACCGCGGCCAACCTCGAGGGCAGATCTAAACAGTTGTTCCCTGAACCCAACGGCAGTGCCTGCCGCCCTCGGCTCTTTTCTCTTCCCCTCGATCTCTGCTACCCAAGAACGTCAGCGGCAAGTGCCCTTCAGCCCGCCCTCTCCCCATCCCAACCGCCCACTTACCCCCTCCGCCCGCCCCGTGGAATCTTTCAAAAAAAAACATGGAACAACTCTCAATAGCGCCAAAAAAACTAAAATGAGCAAAAACAACAAAAAAACATCAAGTGTCGTTTTAGCAGAGGGCGTGCGACGAAACGTGTCGCTTTTCCGACATGAAACAAAAAAAACAACGAAGCGCTGTTCAAGCAAAACTCACCAAGAAGAGGATGAGCAGAGCAGCGCTGGCGTGTCGGACGACGGCCCGCTGCCTAGCCTCCGCGGAAGCCCTGCTGCTGAAGTAGTTCCGCCGCCGGTGCACGTACAAGGCGATGACGTAGGTCAAGGACAGGAACGCCAGGAGCACGAGGGGACCGAGGGTCACCCCGACCAGGCGCTGGTAGAAGGTGATGTTGTCCACGATGCACGCCGCCGTCAGGGGCCACGTAATGTCTTGTTGTGGAGGCGTGCATGAGGAGGGGGGGGGGCGGGTCGATTGTTGATCGCCAATGGCCACGCAGGGGAGCGGGGTGGTTCAGCAGCCTTCACTTCGTCCTACTCATGTACAGCCATGTACGCGGAGCCCCTCCCCCCCCCCCCCCCCCCCT